CTGTGTGTGATTTATGTGTTGATTTATTACAGCAGAAAGGATGAAATGATATACTTTCTTCCCATTCTTTTCAGTATTTCATCTTGATCTCAAAAGCAAGCTCTGTGCTCTATAGAGACTTTACTATAAAGAAAAAGGTCACTAATAATGTTCCTCCCACTGAGAGAAGTTGATAAAGCTCAGACGGTGCTGACATTACCGTGTTATTCCGTTTGTACGCGTTCTGCAACGATCCTGCATTAAGCCTGTCGTGGCCAAGGACCGAGGGATTAGACGCACAAGCTTGTGGAGGGAACACAAGAGACTGGATGGTTGTATATAATACTGACTTTTAATGATGATGATAAGAATTATGGCTTGTTTGAATTGGACCAGTCATGTCTCTTTCCCCCTGCTTCCTCTTCGCTCCTTGCCACACAAAAGGATGAAGATTTATGGAAGAACAAGAGCGCAGAAAGGGAAGGATTTGGTAATCGGTTTGAAAAATGGGTGTGAAACTGAAGATTAGATTTTATAGCAGTGCTGTAAACTTTCCTGACAATTTCAATGAATTGACATTGTGTGAACAAAGCGCTCTCAACATAAGAAAACAATTACTAAATGCAATTCTAATTTAGACATGAGGAATCTGTAAACAAAGGCAGCTTTAAATACCATATTAAGCTGTCATCCACTTCAGCTTTCCATTTATTTCCTTTTGTCTTGCAGCTCAAATCAACACCAGCCTGTGCTCCAAATAGGCTAAGGCCTCTCTCTGATCAAAGAGGAAGCTTTTAGAAAAAGGGATACATTTCTGGGTGTGTATCCACTGCGCATCACACTGCTTGGGCTGCGCTCTGAGAGGCTTTGTTAATGATATTTCAGGGGATCAGTTAACTTTTCACACTCTTTTTGTAGGACCTCGTGGCCCAGTTGCTTGACTCTGCATCTGTCTGTAATCCATCAAGCAGCAGGCGCATACCTGCGGGAACTTGATGATAGCCTTGGTATGAAGTAATGCTACACTCGACCCGTTGTGAGACGCGTGGTTCGGGGAGTTGAAGAGCGGAGATGTGACATAATAGACATGGGAATACAGGAAGTTTAACCTTCTGCTAAACAACTGTGAAAAAAAGAAGACAGGCTCTGGCACCAGTTTTACACACAGATACATGATTGGTCCAGCTGTAACTATCACTAAGACAGATCCTTGTTTAGATCAAAAGAATTCAGTTGCACATCTTAATTCATCCTTTAGAGAAAGCAGTTTTATTCTTGGACTGTGCTGGAGTAGCATGATTCAGAGTTCAAATTGATCCTTATTTATCTTATACCTGGCCTTGGTGTAGCCTCTCACTTCATCCACCTGTGTGAAAAAAGCCATTTTATTTCCTTTATCCTGCTCTTTAAGCCACCTTTTTTCTGAGTGGATACTACTTGTTAATGTAAGATTTGAACAGCTGGTAGTTTGGGCTTCTGTCCTCACAGCCAGAGCCATGTGACCATAATAAGGACATTCCCTCTCTCTGAAATCAGATAAAAATTTCTTAACTTTAAAACAAAATAAAAACTGAAAAATAATTTAATGGTTCAAAAAAGTGACATAGTCTCAATGGAGAACAGGCCTGCAGCAGTGCCGTGGCTCGATACTCAAATAAAAAGAAAAAAATGAAACAAACTAAAATTTATTAATGATTTTGGAGGTTTTTTGTCATCTATTTACGCTCTTTAGTCACAGAAACAAACAGGTTTTAGGCTGGTCCCATGAGATATACTAAAAATAAAGAATTGACCCTAAAAAAAACACAGCCAGCCCACTCTCCGGATAACTAAGCAGCAACCTCCCAGCTGATAAATGAAGCCAGAAGTTGCAGAAACTGTGGCTCCATGACCACTTGATGCTGGCCTCAAAAGTCAGTCTGTCTCACCTGATTTCTGTATGCATAACTTCACAGCAGAAATAAACATTTTTTACAGGTTGGTACAAAAACATCTTGATCTCTAATTCAGAGGCAAATTTCCATCTAAATCTTTAGTTTAAAATGTATTAAGTTATTGTGGCATGGCTGTTTTGACTGGAACAGGTTGATGCTGGCATCGATGTCTTTAGCCACTAGCTTTCTGCTACTTTTCACCTGTTTTATTCAATTCATTATTTGACAAAAACTTGGCTTGATGTGCAGGTTTTCATTAGTGGCATTCTAATGCTCAACTTATCAAGTATCTATGTCTTTGCAAAGCACTCACTGAAACACTAGCAAGAATTAAATGCGAAAATAGAGTTTACTCTCTCTTTTTAGCTACTGCTGGCTCCAAAAGACCAGGATGGCAAAGACCATTCTTCAAAACAAAAGTCCTCAAACTGACAGTTGGTCTTCTTAGCTGTTATATCCAGTCTATGAGACTAAAAAAGCTGGCATCAGCAGACGATTTACACGCACTCATAAGTAGTCGTTGAAAATTCACAGTAGTGATAGCTGTTTTCATTTGTCTGAGCAGCATCATACTGTCTAACAGACAAGTCTGCAGAAGTTCTGCTAAAACAACTGGAGTAGGAGCCGAGCAGTTCGATGTGCTCACTCAAAAAAATTATGGTTACTCCTGCTTAAGATATTCAAGAACTTGATGCAGTGGATGAATGCAGATATCAGTCTACGTCTGGCCTTCATCTGAATCTAAGCCAGATTCAAAGTCTTTTTTGTTAAGTTGAACCGCGCTCCTTTGTATGCTAACAGGGGAGGGAGTGTTTGGGTAGAGATGGCGGCCTCTGGCAGCGTTACTGGTAATTAAAAATTGTGTTGTTATGTCTACGCGTGCTCAGCAGTGGAGCAGCGCCAGCGAACTGTCACCCTGCACCCTGCAACTATTACCATCAACTCTGGTGCGCAAGGTCTAATTATTCTGTGACTGGCTCATTCCAAAGCGCCCACTGGTTCATGAGACATAACAATCCATGATTAACATGAAAACTATGATCCTACTGGGCTCCTTCCACGTGTCTTATATGGGTCAGCTAAGGTCCATCCAAGTGTGTTTCCCCTCCCTCTCTAGAGGCGCCTTTCCTTTTGTGGATCTACAAGACCACGGCCATCTCTTTTACACTTGAGAACTATTCTTGTGGCTGTTTATTGGGATGCGTGCTTCTTCCCGATCACCAAGTCTTCTGAAGCCCCAACAGCCTTAACACTGGATGAGTCACATGAGCTGTAACCAGCTGATCGACAGGGGCAGAGGGGCTCCAAAGCTGAGGATGTGTGAGGAAGTTCATGAGCGGGGCAATAATTTGGGATGGGTGGAAACACAAGAACAAGAGGAGACTGGGTGACGGCTGTAATGTGGTGTTAGGAACATAATATGTGTGATGTCAGGACGCTGGCCTGGAGACACATTGGATGCAGGGATGGAATTACTGCTTGATGGGAGAATAAAAAGGGAAAGGGTATAAGGTACACTAAAGGGGACAGATTTCAGTGCATCAAATGCATTTTATGATGCATCAACGCTGACGTCCATTTCTAAATACGGACGTTTGCAGACGCGTGTCTCTTTCAGCAAAACGCCTTTTTTGGTCTGATCCACATGACTTTGAAAGAGCTCAATGAGTAAAACAGATATCGGAATTATATATCTGAGAAAATGGGAGTTCTGACTTTTACATAACAGCAGTGATATGGTGAACTTCATGCAGATTGGCGAATGGGGAGATTGATGCCAGAAGAGGAGACAGTGTAATAGAATGAGGGAGGCAATCAGGGTCAGATAGATAAGGTGTCTGAGGTGCAGAGATACGACGGCAAGGTAGTTACACCTGACTTGACAGAGGTCCCTCTAACAAATCATTCCCCTCATCTCTCCGCTTTTATCTGTTACCTCTTTCTTCCCTCGTGCCCTCCTTCACTCCTTCCCTCATGCATGCTCTCCTTTCTCCCGCTTAGAGCTGCAAGATGATTTACAGTTTGAGGTTGTTGCTGACAAAGGCAGCGGAGCATATTTCAGACCCAGTGACTGATAGAAACATTACAGCATACACTACATCACAGTGCTGTGGTGATGTTTCAGCACTGAGTTTACCAAATGTTATGCCACATGCATGGGAAGATTATCCTGCTCTGCTGGAACCACATACTTCCAGTTTATGGTGCAATGAAAGGGCTTATTATCAGTAATAAAAGAAGGCATTTACTGCCATTTACAGCCTCTGTTTTTCTTTTAATTAAATAACTTCAGTGTATATAAAATGTATGGAGTTTTGCATAATTATATGACACTGGATTTAGTGTAAAAACAAAGCGTATGCACTCTGTCTCTGTAATAAAACATAGTCACTTAAGATAATTGCATATGACGTGCATTTTCATCAATTATAACTATGAAATTCACATCAGACGTCACTATAAGTTTGCCAACTTTTACCATCTTGCTTTTTTCAGCTAAATTAAACGTCATGTATACAAAACACTTTTCCTATAAGAAAATACAAGTTCAAGCAGCTAAAGAGAATATATTTTTCTTTATCCATAACTTTGGATTGTTTTATTTTTGATTACCAACATTTAGGCAAAAAAAAACCTAAGTGCATTTAACTCTGAAAGTATTTTAAATATTTGTTAATGTAATGCTTTATTTATTAAAACAGCTTGTTTAGCTTTCATTGAACTCAGTTGCAGTTTCGCACTATACCTCAGAACAGTTGTTTGGGAAAGAGAAAGCAGCACAGTGATACCAAATGAAGGCATGCACCTATAAACCTAACACTCATGCCACAGATTATTAAACAGCTTTAATTTGCATGCCCACTAATAAATTGTAGTCTATATTAGGTCATTCATTACCAACGACATTATAAAACTCCTGATTTATTGTGATTGAAAAGATAATTTTATCAAGAATAAACACTAAGGGTTAAAATTAGTTAGAAGTGCCTTGATTTTTCTCCTCCCACACATCTGCACATTGCACAGAATCACTAGCTTCCACGTCTGTTTTTTTCTGTTCTAATCTCACAGGATGGACCAGCTTACCTGGGTTCTGGGGCTCAGGCATGACTGTGTCTGTTTACAGCGATTCCTCTGAAAGCGTCTTCGTCCCTGCTTGGCAGTGGCTCTGCCTGCATTTCCAACTCTTCCATCCCTTTTTATGACCTCCGCCACCCCCACCCATACCACCACTACCACCGCCTTATCCCCCTCATGCCCACCCAACACTTTTACTTTGTACCACTGCCATGCCCCCCCTTAACAAGCAGAACAAGGAAGGAGGAAGAGAGTGACAGAGATGTTGTCACTTGAAACCTTAGTGGTAGCTGCAGAGCCCTGAGGAGGCACTGAGACACCATGAGGGGTAAAAGTGGTTCAGAGCCATAAAGAATTCCAACCCATGGGAAAACCTGCCAGCTGATTAACTCATTAGGCCCTGTAGGCAGAACATTAATAAACTTACTGATGCTAATGAGCTCTGACTGACAATTTGACTGAGGGATGCCGCAGTGGTAAAACTCCACAGATGTTTTGTGTTATTAGAGGGGAGGATAATATGTTTTGCCACTTTAATGAGGGTTAGGAGGTTTAAAAAATGAAGAGTGAATCTTTTCCTTTTTTCCATGCCCTAAATCTATAATTAAGCATAGCTTAAGCTTGGGAAGGCCACAAAGTCAAGCTCAGCTGCAGTGCCAGCAGATCAGACGATCTCAGTCCCTAGCCACATCAGCTGATGGCTCAAAGAAAATGCCTCTACACTTATAGGGCAAATAGGGCATGCTTTTTAAGAAGTTTTAGCTCGCTGACAGTCGCTGCACATCTGCAACCTCCTTTGCAACCCGTAGGTCTTCACTTCCTCCCGTATCAGACTTAATCAGTGTCATATCTCTCAGTGATGCCTGCTCTTTTCTGTCTTCTTGCAGCTCTGCCTGCCTCCAGCTCTCCGTGTATGCACATGGAAGGGTTGTGGGAGAACTATGTCACCATGTATAAATCACTGCAAATGCAAGTATCAGCCTTGCTTTCACTAACGGTCTTGAAATTAAGGCTTCTGTGACTCTAATCTTTTTCACTAGCCAGCACTTGCCTCACTTTATTCCGTAGCACAACAGACTGATCATGTAGAATTAACTTGTTATATAATGCATGTTTACCACAAATATATGTTATGCTGTAGTGAATACCCATTTAGCATTGCTTAGCTACAAAATAAGGAGTATTTGGCAATTCTTTCTACTCCTAATGGGCTGTGTTGTTCCATTAACATAGGTTGTGTTGAAAAATTATTGTAAGAGGTGTTCCAGTATTTTTCTGTGTCATGAAAAGGGGTCTAAACTATATATCAATAACCCTGCGGAGGGTGTTGCTCTTCTGAAAAGCCTACCCTAAGGTTCTTCTCCCCCTCTTCCACCCAGTGATTTTTTCACTGTCCCCAGCTGACAAGAAAGGGAGAGGGGGAAGGAAATCAAAAATGAGAGCAAAACAGCGGCAGCCGTGCGTTCCTATAGGCAATGACAATCCCATTTGTTCTTTTGTAGGCATAGCTGTCAACTAGCTGTACTTTGTGAGAGAGGAAAGCTTCATGCAGGGATTTACGGAGCAAGGTCAGAGTAGAGAGAGGTCACGTTATGAGTTCCTGAACTATGTATGCTCACACTAGGATTTGTTCTTCACATGTGTGACATATGATGTAATCAATATATTTACCAAAAAAAGACAGGATTTAAATGACAGAAAAAGGACAGTAAGCTCTTACTGTAGACCAAATTACAAACATCAGTGTTAAATTATGCATTTAATAAGCCTTTCACTTTCCATTTCTTCATCCATATGCAGTTCTCTTTTTTCCTTTGGTTTCTGCGCTCATTTTTTTTGCTTTCGAAATTACTCAGGCAGCCCTAACCTTGCATAATAATACGTATTCTTTGAGACTTTAATTTTGGAGAGAGAACTTAAGCCAGAAAGAGAGGCAGAGATTGAAGAACAGCTATTTAAGGTAAGTGCAACTTAAGATTCATATGTTCAAGGAGAACAAAATACCCCAGAGGAAGATTATGGAGAGCTGTTTGAATAGGACATAAAAGGTCCTTGAGTCTGTTAGACTTACTGTATATCATAACTTTACATTACTTTACTTTAAAGCTGAATTATCTTCAATAAATCTTTTTTACGCATTCACAGGTCATCAGTTGCAATTTATAATGTGACTAAACTCTCTGAATGAGCTGAAATTATTCATATATTGTGGATTCAAAGTGGCTATAGAAGACTTACTATAGGTGTCCTAAATGATCCACTGATTCCCTGCAGAGGATGACACCAGAGTTATTTAACGCTTGCATTAGTTAAGCCTCACTGAAAAACACTTAATGCCAGCTGAAGCAGGTCCTCTCCATTCTCACAGCAGCTCTCCCAAGACAGCGTCATAGCACTATATAGAGGTTAAAGCTTTTAATGGATGTCATTTAGCAATAATTTAAAAACAAATCTGTTAAGTAAATATATTTTATTGTGTTTGAGAAACTACATTCAGGGTGATCTGAGAGTATTTTATGGAAAATGGCAGTAAAAAGACAGAAAATGGTCAGATGAGTATAGCTCACCAATAAACAAAGGAGTCTCTAAATGTCTCATCCTGGTGTGTCAAATACTGTCATTCTGTCAGATGCATGCAGTGTCCGCATAGGTTGAGTCAACAGCCACAACAAGTTTTCTTTTTAATATTGTAGGGTCTTTACCTTATGAAGCACCTTGATGCAACTGTTGTGATGAATTGGTGTTATATAAATAAAACTGAACTGAAAAACTGAACATGTGGTTGGATTTATAGTCTGGGCGACAGGTGCAGAGATTGCTCAGATGAAGATAAAAAAGCATAAAATTTGCCATCCACCACATCATACGAAACATTTTCAGAGGTGGAGCCAATGCAGTGTTAATTGCATAGTAATTGTCGCTAAGCAACTTATTTTCCTTACCAACTGGGAAATAGGAGGCCTACATACAAATTTTGCTAATCAATAGCACTGAAGTTTCTAGCAACCAAATAAATTCAGTGGCTCCACTACTTAAAATTAGTAATATGCTTTGGAAAATATTTGTGTTAAGGGTTTATCACTATGTTGGCAGTTCTGGCTCTATTTTGCACCCATCACAAAGACTACAGGAGGATATCCTGATATGAGCTAAAACACCTTCTTCCCAACAATAGTCCTACATATTTTAAATGTTATGTTTATTATGCAGACCTATGACACGTTTCCTTGATTTTTATTAGACAGAGGCAAACTTTGAAATAATAAGGTGTATGTACATGTACTTCCGGTGAGCCACAGGTTCAGGGTCACTACTCTAAATCTTCAGTTTCTAGTAGAGTTTTTCTTCTCTTGAATCTGTATAGTGCCAATAAGATTTATAGTATGTCATCTCAGGTACAGTGCTCTGTCTATGGGCACAAGAAGCACCACCCAACTGTTATTTTTAAGAGGTGGAACCAATTAGAAGAAAAAGCAGGATGATCTTAAAAGGAGCTAAAAAAAACTCCTTTCAGTAAATTAGTGAACCAAGGGTTTGTATCAAAGCCTAATATAAGATAAATAAGGATTATTCTGAACTGTAACTCAATCAAGTACAAAAATGTGGAGTTATTAATGAGCCCCCTTTAAGGGTGCACAGTGTGACGCCATAAGCATGTACTTTATAAGCATCCATAGCAGTGAGTGACAGCACATACACCAAAGGAAAACCTTATGCATAACTGTCAGATGCCAGTGGCTTTGACAAAACAGCAGTATTTGAAAAAACAAGCTAGTTATTTCACCTGTATATAACGCAGTTTATAAATAAACCTCTGAAAGCAAAAATCTGAAAAGCTTAGATTGACTAGGCTCGCTTAGAAGGAATACCCTCAACCTGCCGCTGGGCTCCAAGCGAGCACGTTTTGAACAGGCTGTGCAACAGTGATGCAAAATCTGAGACACCGTTTTTCAATATTTTAGTAAACAGCTAGGCCTAGCCCTGATTTGAGTGAGGTCCATGGAAACCTGAGAAAGTTTCTACTAAGTATCATCAACCTGTTTACTCTGATGCCATGTCCCATCAAAATGTATTTTACAATAGATCAGATTTCTGCAGTGGGGATGGACATACTTATAATGTGCTCATAGAAAACTACCTCACAACTTTGCAATCTTTGTAGAGTTATACCAGAAAAATATACTGCTTGGGTCCACTGCATTACACCAGCGTGCTTTTGGCCACAGCAGGCACCTGCTTTAAGGTAAACCTAGACAGCTAGCAACCACGCAAAAAAGAGTGGAAACTGAACCTACACACATCGAGTGGACAGAAACATGTCTGCACATGCCACTGATGATGTTGCTTTATATGGGATGTGTAAGCTGTTTTCTAATACGTTCACACTTATGGTACACTGAAAAAAAGGGATTGGCCGGCTCTTGGATATAGTGTAGAAACTACATGAAATGCAGAGAGGCTAGATTAAATTGTTCATATCATGTTCAAGTGAAGTAAGTCAATAATATAGCAATGTTAAATCCCGCGACACTGCACGGGATTTCAGTCTTGCGGGCTTTGGATCGTGGTTTGAGGAAGGCATCCATCTCAGTCAAGTCGAGCAGCCGCCTCTGCTTTTTTTGGTATACCGAAAAAAGTAAATTGGGTGGTTGTTACATTAAAAAAGTCTAACTTGTAATTTGAACACAATAATTTCATGTTTCTATGAACGTAATTAAATGAGGATCTGTACAAAATTCAACAACTTAATTTGTTCTTGTTGAGATGACATGATACAATCTAGTAAGAGTGGTTAGTTGCTGGACTCATAAAATTCACAAGATCGCAGGAGATGTCAAAATCGCTGGGGATATAAGAGGCAGACAACTACACACACACCACGTGTATGCTATTGCTATTTATTGTGGTTTAACCTGTCAAGGACAAAAACAAAAAAATTCTGCATCAAGCCTTGAAATCATAGCTTTCCTGGATTTCCTGGTAGGGTGGTTAGTGCTGTTGCTTCACCGTAAGAAGGTCCTGGGTTCAAATCTGCAATCTGGCTAGTTTGTGGTGGTTTCTTTCTGGGTATTCTGGTTTCCTCCCACAGTTA